ACATGGGTAAAACAGTACACCCCCCTCTCCTTCGGAGCGGGGGTATAAAAATTATCAGTGATTGCACATTTTAGTAATATAAAATTTATGCTATTAATTTTGACCATCAAAATATGAGCAAACTGGCAAATGGGTACCATTAGCAGTACAGAGGAATTTTGGACTAAGACAAACAAGCGATAGTATTGATTACAAATAAATAATACAACAGGAAAGAGTAGCTAAAATAATCTAAACAATCAGACTGTAATGCTGTTATGTTATGTTAAACTAATGTAGAAAAACATATAGAAAGCAGTTTAATTGCATTAAATTATAAAATTTTACAAACGTACTCTAAAGTACTCTGTTTAGCAGGACTGATAAATTACTATAAAAGAAAATTATTTAAAATGAATTTAAATAAATTATCTTCCCTTTTTCTGATCATTGCACTATAGCTCATTTAGAATGAAATTCAATAAATTCATTTTGTTTTCATCTTAAATCATTAAATACAATAGAAATATATTTAATTTATGTGAGTTACAAAACACTTATCTTTCAGTTGACTGAGTGATGACTGATCGTAAATAATTTAATGACTCATTAAATGTGACAGAACTTAACAATCACGACTAGAGATTTGAAATTTTTCAGCTGGAGTTTGGATCTCAAAGCTGGAGATTTTTTATGTACATTTTTTCAAATCGCAAAAAAAAAAAAAAAAAAAAAAAAATAATAATAATAGTAAATAAAACATTTAAACCCCTAAAAAATACTGTCTCCATCTTAATTATACTTCATAATTTTTATTTCACAAAGTCTAGACTCTAGTATTAAACAAGAGGCCCAAGGGCCTTAACGGTCACCTGAGTATAATACAACAATTTAGAAGTTAAATACACTGATAGATGAAGCATTGTTGCGCTAAAGCAAGAAAAGTAGCAAGATCAGGATCAACAAAATAATTAGTCTAGTATTCAGTATCAACTCATAAATTAAGTTCTAATCTGTCCCCCACTTAACACTATCACCATGCAGACTATTAACAAACTATTAGTGCTTCTGTACTGTTTTTAAACCCATATTAAGACCGCTAGCATTGACCTCTCTTATGGTCTTTGAAGAACTTTTAATAAGGTAAGTTATTTTTGTCTCATTTTTATTTATTTATTACTTACAGGTCTACCTGATTACTAAAACTAAGAAAGTACTTTTTTTATTATACGATAAACATTCTTGCATAATTATCTTAATCTATTAACCTTTCAAATACATTATTTACAGTGACTAATTATCAAAGATGAATGGAAAAGGGGAATAACTTCTCTCAGTAGCATACAAATTAATAGAGCCCTGCCCAGGACCAGAATGCTTAGACGAATGGTCCAGATGTTTAAAAATCTGGTAGAAATACGCTTACTCATATCATTTCAACTTTTACTCAGTTTGCCTCCGATATGCCCAGAAGCAGAGAAGAATTTCACAGGTACAATGCATTTCACTACAGATTCAACAAAGCCTTACCCTAACACCAGAACCCAAGACCAAGGGTCAAGAAATTTACAAATTTGGAAGAGTTACCCTCATCATCATAACTATGGACTTCAAAGAATTAACACTTTTCCACTATATTATCAACCCACCCCCCCCCCCACCCCCCTCGTTATGCTAGAACCCCTGACCCTAGGACCACAAGATTTAAAAATTCTGTTCGAAGCACCCATTTTCATCATAACTAAGCAATTTATTTATCAGCTCAACACTATTCTAAGGAGCAGACAGGATTAATTTATGATTAATAGAATTAATGCTTTTTCACTATATAATCAATAGAGCCCCCCCACCCCCTCAAGAACCCCAAAAACTGAGACCATATATTTAAAAATTTTGGAAGAGGCATCCTTTTCTATCATAATCATGCACTTAGTTTGTTTAAATAATCTCCAGTAACAGAGAAAAAGATTTTCAAAGAATCAATGAATTTTCACTATATAATCAATAGAGCCCTGCCCTAACACCAGAACCCCTGACCCTGGGGCCATGAAATTCACAATTTTTGAAAAGGCATCCTTATGCATCATAATCATGCACTTAGTTTGTTTAAATAGTCTCCAGTAGTAGAGAAGAAGATTTTCAAAGAATCAATGCATTTTCACTATATAATCAATAGAGCCCCGCCCTAACACCAGAACCCCTGACCCTGGGGCCATGAAATTCACAATTTTTGAAAAGGCATCCTTATGCATCATAACCATGCACTTAGTTTGTTTAAATAATACCCAGAAGCAGAGAAGAAGATTTTCAAAGAATTAAAGCATTTTCACTATATAATCAATAGAGCCCTGCCCTTACACCAGAACCCCTGACCCTGGGGCCATGAATTTCACAATTTTGGAAGAGGCACTCTTGCTCATCATAACTATGTACTTAGTAACTTTATTTAATACCCAGGAGCAGAGAAGAATATTTTCAAAGAAATAATGCACTTTCACTATATGAGCTATATAGCCCCACCCTGGGGCCAGAACCCCTGACCCTGGGGCCATGAATTTCACAATTTTGGTAGAGGGTTCAATGCTTATTACAATGATGCCAACAGTTTGACTGTTTGATGTCCAGGAGTAAAGATGAAGATTTTTAAAGATTGCATTATTTTTGGTGGTTTTAGCCCCACCCCTCAGGCCCCAGGGGTGGGGGGTGGGGGCAGGGACCATGAAATTCACAATTTTTGTTCCCCTTCACCCATAAATGCTACATACCAAATTTGGTTGAAATTGGTTGAGTGGTTCTAGAGAAGAAGTTAAAAATGTTCAAAAGTTAACGGACGACACACGACAACGGATGAAAACAAATAGTAATAGGTCACCTGAGTGACTCAGGTGACCTAAAAATATGATAAAGTCTTGATTCAAATGAAGTATAATTGAGCATTAAAAACAAAATTAATTCATTTAAATTAATCAAGAGTTAACATCATCATTAAAACATTAGATAATATTTTATTTTTGATTTTGGTACATCAACCAGTAAGTTAAGTAAAACATGGGTTTTGTGTAATTTATTCTATGTAATTTAATTTATTTGTAAATAGAATATAAAATTAACCTCTCAAAAAATACAACAAATAAAGTCAGGTATATTATTTAACATGTAGTGTGATCTATTTTTAGATAAAATGTCACCTACATTATAACTATCTTTTAACAGTGTTTAATGACCACTGCAGTATTAGAAGATGGCAACTGGGTATTTTAGCAACTAGTTACAATGTTCTGCACTCAGTAATAAACATTGATGGTCATTTATCAAGTTGATATACCACTAATTTTTACAACCTAATTATACGACCACATGTTGATTCCTACCAAGCCTACTGCTGCGAAAATTTCCATTTCTTGCCATTCTAAGCAATTATACTACGAAACATGATAAAAATTAATGCCAAAATATTCAATTTGAAAAATTTTAAACACGGAAGATTTAAAAATTAATCAGGAGGGGCGGAAAGGGGGTGAAAAATCCGGAGACTTACCGCATTTGCTTTTTGTGTTTCCGAATTTCCTCAATGCTAATGACAAAGTGCCCCAACGCAGCTACTTCCGTATCCTGCGCAGGCGCAGTTAGTTTTAAATGTGTGCGCATGCTCAGGTATTCGGAACTCCTCGATTCAATTTACCGAACTCCTCTAAACAGCAATTTTCAGAATGTCTTAGCTTTTGGGCTAGTGACACTGTCCAAAAATGTCTGTGAAGATTTGTGGGGTTAAATCTAATTTTAGTTTTTTCAACCTCATAAAGTAATTTTAGACATAATTAAACCTCTTCATTGGGGGGTTTACCCCACAGTACGAAAATAACCTCACACTGCTGGAAAATACGTTCATTTTACCCCACAATGTATCTCTCGTAAGAACAGACGGACAGACAGACTGACGGACGCCAGACAAAATGTGATCAGAAAAGCTCACTTGAGCCTTCGACTCAGGTGAGCTAATAAAAAATACAATTTTTGATAAACATTTTTAATCTGAAAGTAAACCCCAAACAGTCATTTAATAATTTAAATCCTGTGTAAGTGCAAAAAGGTCAAGAATATTACAATCAGTAAATAACCTATCTCTCATTAGTTGGAGGCGAAAGGTATATATTTTAATCACTTTTTGTAATCATTTGGGTATGTTCTTCATATTAAAGATTGAAAACATTGTGACAAAGACTTCTGAAGGATATTTACAAATGTAGGATAGAAAAATTGACTTAAAAAAATTAAGTTCATTTGCCTACCTTTTTTTTAAATGTGAACTTATCTTTTATGCCAATTGAATAAAAAAGAAATTATTCTTGAGAAATATTGTTCAGTATTGTTCAGTTAATAAAGTCTATAAATGACGATGTTTGAAGAAGTATTTTTGTGATTTTTCATATTCTCTTCTTGACAAATACCCCTAAAATAACTGAAAATGTGTAGTCACAATATGTAATTACCATTCCAAGTTTCACAGGCTGTACTACATTTAAAAACAAGGAAACATATCATGAGCTTTTAATTGATTGATAAGCAAGTACTAATTTATCATTTTGAAAAGTTTGAAAATCTTGTGACAAAGACTTTTCCGACATAGGTTCTACCTTAAAGGTCACAGTGACCTTGAGATAAGTTGCGACACACCTTCTACCTAGGATGTATATATTTGCGAAGTTTGATAGTTCTAGGTCTAATAGTTTTCTAGTTATGAGCCGGACAGGATTTTTCCATATTTGGCCATAGCATCTTTATTAAAGGTCAGAGCGACCTACTTTTTGTGCGCGACACACCGTCTACCCAAGAAGTATCAGCTGACAAAGTTTGATAATCCTAGACCTAATAGTATTGAACTTATGAGCCGGACACGAATGGACAGACGGACAGACAGACAGACGGACAGACATGAAGCCTATAACATAATACATCCCATCTTAAGACAGGCGTATAAAAAAAAGATTTTCACCTGTACACTTGAAAAAAAAAATACTCACAAAGTGAAAAATCCAAAAGATTTCAACAAATTCTCGAATAAAAGCTCGTATTTGCCTTCAGATATTTCTCTTTTTGCCAAACAATCAATGAAAATTCGTTCCAGGGCAAAAGTGAAATGCAGTATATTTGGAACAAACCTGTAGAGAAAAAAAAATCATTTTAAAGTAGAATGAAACTCATCATGAACCACAGACGATATTAAGCATACAGATTTTGGCCATGTTGAAAAATTCAACTGTCATATTGCACTCTTTAAAGATTAATTGATTGATTGTTGTTTTAACAACCCTCTCGAGATTTTTTCACTCAAAGGTCAAAGGAAAGGTCAAGGTAAAAATGGTGATGCAATTGAATAGTTCTCTTTAGTATGTATCAACATGTGAAGTTTGATAACACCATCTTCAATGGTAATGTAAAATCACACATATTTTCAAGGGGTTAAATTTTAGTGGTTTGAGGAAAATATATTGGTTCCTGGGGATTTGATTTCATGGTGGAAGAATTGGACAGTAGTAATATAACAAAGCACTGTGATTTTTGGGAGTTGATTATATCAACTCTCCTTAGTCAGTGGGTCAGAAAGTGAAAATGACAAACAGCCGCCAAGGAAAATGAGCAATGCGAATAAGAAAAATAGTTCCGCATTAAACTAGTTTAAAGCAGAAAATATAATTCTTGACAATATATAGTCAACAATTGCTTTGTGTTCAACTTTAGTCTGTCATTTTAATTTCTTCATAAGCATCTTTCACCTTAATAATCATACCGATTCCGATATGTATTCATACATCGTGCATGTATTCTAATTTTAAGACAGGAAATTCCCTCCTAACACATCTTCCCTAGCCAAGGGTTTCTGATACACTACTCTCCTCATGAACCCCTGGCATACAATTTTGGTAAAGGCACTCTTGCTAATCATAACTATGTACTTAGTTTATTTAATACCCAGGAGCAGAGAAGAAGATTTTCAAAGAAATAATGCATTTTCACTATATAATCAATATAGCCCCGCCCTAGCACTAGAACCCCTGACCCTGGGGCCATGAATTTCACAATTTTAATAGAGGACTCAATGCTGATTACAATCATACCAACAGTTTGACTGCTTGATGTCCAGGAGTAAAGTAGAAGATTTTTAAAGATTGCACTAATTTTAGTGGTTTTGGCCCCACCCCCAGGCCCCAGGGGGGCAGGGACAATGAAAATCACAATTTTTGTTCCCCTTCACCCATAGTTGCTATATGCCAAAATTAGTTGAAATTGGTTTGGTGGTTTCAGAGAAGAAGCTGAAAATGTTTAAATGTTAATGACGACGCACGACGAATGACGCCCGACGACGGACGAAAACAGATAGCAATAGGTCACCTGAGTGACTCAGGTGACCTAAAAAGAAAAATGGGGTTGTTGTATTTTTATTCAATAGAAGGTGTGATAATTTGTGGGCGAATAAATTTTGATGTGGGCCCCAGAATTGCACGGTTTAGTAGCCCACATGGCCAGGGGTCTAGAATTACGCTTTCCCGTTGCCCGGGGTGAGTAAAAAACTGTACAGGAAAATATGATCGTGGGTCATGCTCACCCACTCGGGAAAGTAAAAATAAAAGACAGTAGACACCAATATTGTTAAAAGTTATTCTTTTCACAAGTTTTGATTGAAAATTGAATTAATTTACTTAGCTAGTAAAGTTGTGTGAAGCGGTATGAAGCGTTTCCCGTCAAATAAATGGTATATTATCACTACCGGAAATGCTTGCTTGCTGTATAAATGAAAAACCAAATACGGTACTCTTTTGATTTCCCGGAATTGATACGAACGTGACTTGAGGGCTATAACTCTTGAAAAAAAATTTTAAATGATTTATGTTAGAATTTACATAATAAAAGTATCGACTGAACAATAATTTTGACTTTAAAAAATTATTAATACAATTCAATACAGCATACAGTGTATCAATATATCTATATCAAAAATACAATGCAATATTAATATTATAGGATATTAACAGGTCCAGCACAATCTCTTGATTAAGCTATGTAGCTTTAAAAAGCTATATAGCTTTATTAACAGAGCTCCAGATAATTTTTTACCCCAAAGTGTATTTACTCCCTGATTTTCAAATCAATGCAGGTTTTGATTTTCAGCAAAATGATTGAAGATTATTTTGTTTATATATAAATATTTTGACCTTTATTTTGATTTTGAGCTTGTAATCGAAATATAAGTGTTTTTGAAGAGGGAAAAAACTACAAAGGTCAGTTCCTTCATTTTTTAAAATAAATTTTGAAAATACCAACAATACTTTTGGCTAAAATTTGGAAGCATTCTTTTTTGACAAGGAAGATTATACAGTAGGTCAAGGAACCAAAGAGTCAGAGACACAGAAAACTTTTCCTCCATTTAATATGATATCATATCAAGAGTAAACTGACAGAAAAGAATCATCGTTAATATAGCAAGCTGAGGGAAATAAAAAAAATGGCTTTGAACCCCTTAATAAAAAAGTTATGCCTAGTGCATAGTCTTTCTTTGTAATAGAAATTGATTTTAATCTAAATCCATACATGCCAACTTTCCCGATTTAGGCGGGATCCTCCCGATTTTACCCTTTGATCCCGCTCTCCCGATCGGGAAAGCAAAATTGCCCTAAAATCCCGATTTGAAAAAATTCAACCTAAAATTTCCGATTTTCAGTGTTTCCCTACCACAATATTTTGTCAATCGGGATTAGAATATCAGACTTGTTTATTCAATGCACACAGATTAGTCTCTTTGTTTATTTAACTCATGCAGAGGTGTTAATTAGCCACAGGAAATCACTTCTCGCTTGAACGCACACAGCTGTCCAGGTACAGGTAACATATAGCCTGGAGCAGTTAGGGGATTAAACTTTTCAGTCAGAAGGGGTATGCATAGTGAAACACATAGATTTAGGGGTTAATTAAATATCATTTTATTAAAAACAAAAATTAAATACAGTGATATGATAAACTAACAACAAAATCGGAATTAATCCATGTTGATGGTTTTTTAAAAACGAAAGTAGAAAGCAACAAAGCATAGCTGCTGATTTTATCTGCTTGTAATAAAAATATTGTAAAGTTTACCGGTTAAAAATAAGATAAAAATAATTTAGATGAAACAAAAAGTCATACCTTAAGTATACTGAACCCCCTCCCCCCCCCCCCCCAATGTGTCATGACAAGGGAATACCCACACGGCACTGCCAAGATTATGCAAAAGTTCATCATAATAAAAACAATTTTAATTTTTGTTTGGGATAGGGGGTATCCTTGTTTTAAATAATTGATGATCTCAAGAGTAAATTCATTTCTTCAAATTGTTTTGTGTGTGTGATAAAATTAATCATCATGATGTATACTTATTAATAGGGAATAAAATGACACTTCTATTTAAAGTGCATACCACAAACAAATTTTCTTATCTCTCTCTCTCTCTCTCTCTCACACACACACACACACACAATGCATTGCAATTTTTCAATATTTCTTTCATTTTAATGTCTAATTAGGAAATTCTAATTGTGTAAAATGGAAATATAGAATTTTACAAATGTTTCCCAAAAACTGTACAGTAACAAAACCTCATATATTTCTAAAACTTTGCAAAAAAATTTATTGAACAGAAAGTTGTACATTTTCACATTTTTCACCAAATTATATGTCTTTTTCAAACATAATATTGTTAAACTAAAAAGATATTTGAATTTTGGAAGGAAAAAAATGGTTTGTATTATTTATTCTTAAATTGTGTTAACAAGTGATATTGATATTATAAATTAACCAAAAAAAAAAAAAAAAAAAAAATGGGATAAACATTTATTTTCACGACAAAATGTCGCGAATTTAAAGCTTTGAAAATTGTCGTCACGCGCAAAATCCCCCATGGGAGTTTTCAAAAGTTGGCATGTATGTAAATCTCTGATTCTTCCTCCTGAAATGGAGATCGATCACGCCATTACTAGAATATTCCTGGTTACTAAAAGGCTTTTAAATCTGTACTTCATTTGGAGAAAAATCAAACACCAAGTTGACCTCAACTCATATCATTAAGTAAGTTGTACTTGTATTCTTCAAACTGTTGTATGCAGTACTTTCATGGTGTAATGCTTATCTACGATTGCTAATGCATAATTGTACACCCTAGTTTAATTTTCAATGCGTATCTTGTAAAATTCAATGCGTATTTCTGCAAATACACACCTCATCTAGAGCTCTGATTAAGCTATTCAAAATAGCTTAATAAAGCTATTTATATGAAGTTTATCACAAAAACGTTTTTTGTAAGGCGTAGATAATAGGGCTGTCACGGTTCCAAAATTTTTTGGGTCGGGTCGGTTCTGTAAATTTTCGGTTCGGTTTCGGGTTTTTCGGGTCGGGTATTTAAATCTATTTTAAACCTTCATTTCATGAATTTAACTTGAAAAATCTTTATTTGTTACATTAAATTTACATTGAAAACAAGTCTTAACCATGCGAATGTCTAGACATCGGTGACTTGGCCTAATATTAGCCACAACCTGACCATTCCTGCTCGTTTTGATAATTATCTAATACTTCCGTGACAAGTGTTTTGTCATGGAATGAAGTAGATTTCAGTTGTGATTTTATTTATCACTGTTATCGTCATCATTCCTTTAATTTCGACGCCATTTTTGTATTGAACAGACTCTAATATATAAACCAGACCGGAACTGAAATCCGGAAAAATGGAACTGGAACCGAACCGAACAACTTGGACCGCGGTTCTCGGTTATTTCGGGTACTCGTGACAGCCCTAGTAGATAAATAAATAGTGTGTTTCCGGTTCCCCGACCAACCCTAGAATATTCGAGCCGACCTTGAACATTTTTTCTGCCATATATTTCCAGGAGTAACAGGGTTTCAGATTTGTGTCGGCCTTCGGCCATTTGCCGATAAAAATTCAAAATGGCAGGAAAAAAATAAAATTTAATCTGCCAAAATGGCCTATAGGTTAACATTGATCAGGCATAACGGCCGATTAACTTCTGTATGTAAAGGCCAGTCGTATATTTTCCCCCCATTCAGATCCAATCACTTTTTTTTTTACTACTTTCTGCAACTGCAGATTTCATCAGCCAATGACATTTGGATCTTAGATCTTGACAAAAAACTTTTACTTCCAAATCCAAGTGCAAAGAGCATAAACGTAGTGATGAATGTTTAAAACATCGAAGGATTCAATGCCTTGTTGATATTTTTACCGCCATGATTGAATAAGGGGTCAGACTAATAACAATGTTGCAAGGTTTTACTATAGAATGGAAAACATTTTTAGTCTAGACAATCTGTGAACGTAATAATACATATAAATTAAATCAGAAAAACAAGTCTAGTTTCTGGATAACTACTTTTAAAACCTGTAATCCCAAGAAATAAATACATGTACTGATGAACATGTAATGGGAGGTGGGACTAATATCAGTAAAATACCCATTGAATGGAATTTTTTAAAATAAATTCCCCTTCTGTTTCAATATAATGATTTAGTTTAAAGTAAACAAAATATTATTTTCCCCTTTATTAAAAGGAAAATTAATAAACATTTTTGAATATTTAATGTAATTAGATAATCCATTCTAATTTTTTTTTCCAATCTCCCTTTACTATCAGGCAATGAGAATACTTTTAAATGTTAACGTTATATAAAAAAATTAAAGGAAAACAACTGAGTTTCACTTGTTCAGTATTTTACCTCTAAAGCCATTTACCTGACTTCATTTAAGCATGCGATGAAAGAATTTTAAAGGAATTGTATATTTTCAACTATCACTTGGCTTGTTAAAATGATAAATGTCGAACGGACCCGACACTATAAATTGGCCTATACTTTTAGGAAGTTAAGGACAGAATGGCCTTTAACTTTTCTGGTAAATATGCCAGATGTCCTATAGTTACAGTTCAATCTGAAACCTTGAGTAAATTATTCCAGTTTTACTATTAGAAATCTTAATCTGAATCACTTCCCTGTTTGAAAAATGCTTGTCATCATGATCATAGACACATTAACATGATTAATCAGAAATATTTTGAATGTGATTTCTCTAATGGAAAATGGCAGCGTGCTTGCCAATAAAATGTTTACATAAAATAAAATGTTTTCCCTACCTACCTACCTACCTACCCTATTTTTTCTCAGGGTGGAATAGGAAACACACTATTTATTCATTTTGGCCTAAGAAAAAAACAAAAAGTCGCAAGTAATTGACTATTCATATATGTACTATGGACTATCAAAAAATACAACCCAAATCTGAGAAGTTCTAACATTGCTGTTGTTGAATAATTTTAAGCAAAAGATGAATTTCCATTGTTTGATTAACTGTGGACTATATTGAGTGCGGTGAGGCGTGAATAAGTATGATTGCTTCTCATTGTGTTGAACTGTTACCAATCAATTATCCTGTTGGCCATAACTGACCTCCTTTATAATTTCATTCAAAGAAATAACTGTGTGGTCACTCATCAATAGCCCCAAAACTTTTAAAACTTTGAGTACAAATTCTCAAGGAGATGCAATTTGGTGAGTGATTTTTACATGCATTGTATTCAGAAGAGTTCAAAGTTTAATATTTCCACTGCACCAAGGTGCGACTTTTTGCACATGCTGAAAAAATAAAACATTTGAGAAAAAAGTGTGATAAAATAGCTTAATTAATCAAGAGATTGTGCCGGACCTGATTAATACAATATTTAGTATATCAGAGATATAAATAGCATAAATATTTTAATTGGAGTGAGGGAGGGGGGGGGGAGGGGTTCACACATATTCGAACCATGGGAAAATGTTAGCCTGTAAATGGATGTTTGAACGTATCAATAAAATCTTAAAACTTGTTTTTGGTGGGCAAGTGAATATCAAAGAGAATAATGCCACAATATAAAAAGCAGGGGTAAGAGTCAGGGAAATCTCAGATTTCTTTGAGGACTGATACAATGAGATTGTATTTGCGATCTACAATGATGCGCACTTACGTTTTTTTAAGGTGCGGATGTTTATTATCAATTTTGGCCATCTCTGAGCGGTTTAGTCCGAACTTGTCACGATTAAATTCTGATACGGTCATGTTTTCAAACGCTTTATCAAGATCTTCTATGAGGCACGCCTCTACTGTAGCCTCGATTTCTTTAATTTCGCTGGGAGGCACACCTGCGAGATGCCATTCCTTTAAGATTATATCTATCATGCCCGCCTCGGTGGATTCCACTCCTAATTCATCTACGAAATGAGAATCCCAGTCAGACGTGCTCTTCGGTGTGATGGAACTTCCATATGACTCACTCGTTGGCTGCGAGGACTCCTCACTCGTTGGCTGAGAAGACTCCTGGACATTCTCTAGTTCCTCCATTGTACTCATGGCTGCAGCAGAAAGATAAAACGTACGCTCAAATAGGGTACAAGTGATTTCGGCACCTGGTGAATTCGGCACCTAACGAAAAAGTGAATTAAGTGAATTCGGCAACTGGTGAATTCGGCTTCAGAATCTGGTGAATTCGGCACCAGTTTGTGTTAATTCGGTAACCGTGTAATTGTTGAGTGTTTTGTTAATATTTTTCGTGTGATTAATTGGTTAATCGCTTTTACAGAGAAAAAAAGGTGTTTCGATTTTTTTTTATTTACGAATAAAGTCATTTTTCAAAATAAATATGCGTGTTTGTAAAGTATAGAACTAATGAGTTAAAGTTCATCTGTGGAAAACTCAATTAGAAATACTGTAAGTTTAAGACCTTTTCTTTAAAGAAAATTTCGAAATAATTCTATAATTCGTACTGAAACCACAGGCACTTGTTTCTGTAATAAATTTTTTGACCCATAGTATAATATATAACAGCGTGAAGCTGTGTCTTCACGAAACACTAGAGCATCCACTAATGAAGACTTTTTTTATTCCTCATGTGAAAGCATGTCAAGCGGATACTTTTTACTTTAATGGCATTAAGGACTGGAATTTTTTACCAGCTTCTATTAAATGTACTAAAGGAAAGATTACTTTTAAGAAACAAGTTAAGAGTTTTATCTTACAAAATGGCATTTTAGAACATGAAAGTGATATGTTTCATCATTAACTTATAAAACATATTTTATTATTTTATTGATCCTATATGTTGTCATACTTAAATTAAATTTAACGTGTAAGCAACGCAGTGCTAAGATTATACACAGGCACTTGGGGTCTGGACCCCCACCCCCCTTTTCCATTTTTTTTTTCTTTTTAAATATGGAGTCGATTCACCTTTTTCCTTTTTTTGTTTCTAATATGCACTTTATGTTATCAATAATGTAACTCTGTTGTCTCTATATGCTGTTTTTAAATATACCGTTTTCGACTGATACATAAAAAGAGAGAAGGCTTGCAACTCTTTTCTCATCGTCTGCCTCACCTCGCTTAAACTTCGCCTGATTATTTATCGAAAGAATAAGAAAACATGGAATATGCATACATCAATAAATTCGTTATACATTCTTCTTTCTTTTCATATTTCCATTTAATTTTTATGTGCCCCCGATTTGTAAATATTTCGATTAAATCATCCGCATCTAGGGTAAATTTTGTTGATGTGCACCAGCTGGGACGGAAGTGCAATAACGGTAACTCTAACTTTATAAATGTTCTGCATTAAAAAAAATTCCAGGCTTTGTAATAACAATATTGTGGAATTTGGTTGTCTAGGTCGTCTATTTAAAGTATAATCTTCATCCATTAAAATTTGCTAGTTAAAGTTATCTTGTTATTCACAGAACTTACCGTTACATGTTATATGAAGAGAAAATTCGGGATGTATTCCTTCTCGCATTTAATGTTCCGAATACGCGACTTCCGAGATACGTTTCCGACCCGATTTTTACATCACGCAAAAGTGAAATGTAGGGCATGTTTACTTCCGTTTTCATCGTAAACGATGGCGTCATTAGATACAGACTGCGATTACGACTATAATTTCAATTCTTGGCAAGTGCCTATGCTGAAAGACCTTTTATCCTTTAAAGGAATAGCTTTTTCAATATATTAAAATCATCATTTGATAAGACTTTGTGAACTGGGAGTTGAAATTCAGAAGTGGCAGATGATTAGGCCTACAGGGTGGTGATGTCAAACTGTTGGAGATAAAGTTTTCCGAAATATAACAAGTGTTGATAGTTGGTCTGAAGATCTCATAAAACTGCCGAACATTGAGATTTCCGATGTTTTCATAAAACTTTTGAACGATGGCTGGAGTACGTTATTCTCGGTTGAAAACATAGACAGAGACAAGACAATGGATACAGACTAAAACAACCACGTTGATAAAGTGAAAGTGTCCCCCCTGTCTGATGATTTTCAGTACATCAAGTGTGACACAGTTCCTGAGACTAGCCAGATGCAGATCCGTACAAGACCTGGATATTTGTTGAGGGCAATGAACAGATTCACTCAGGTGGATGTAGTGTAAATATTCTGGTTTTCACATTATGACTACAGATTCTCCAGTAGAATTTAAAGCAATAATTATCAAAAATGTTATTTCATAAAGATATACTAATGCTTTTTGTTCATAAAAAAAACATACACAGAGGGAGCCCTGTCTCAGCCTACAAGCATTTATGATTATGTAAATTGCTCAATACACTATTCATGTCATGGAATTTCATATTCAATACTTCATCACTTTGAACAAAAGTTCTCTTGATTTTAGAGATGATGGGTCGTGTAAGCACTGTACAGCTTCGATATTTGCTGTGGCTTCATTCTGTGAGAGGCACAAAGACTGTCACACTCAAGTCGGAACAGATATTCCATGTGTTTGGGACAATTTTTTAAGCCTCGTGTCATCTCATCTTGTATTGGCCAATTACATAAAACTACAGGACTATACAGGAGAAGAACCTGAAGTTAGCGCTCACCATTCAATAAACAACCCATGCAAGTCCTTGAACAACAACTCTATTAAAGAAATTGAAGAAAAAAAATTGTTTCAACTCCTGTGTTTTTACACAAAATGTGGATTTTTCTGTGAGCAAATACATTATGATCCTTTGAAATTTGAGGAAATAGTACAAAAATGTGAATATCTCTTCGACAAACATTTGAAAGTTGCAATTATGTCTCTCTAAGTATAGCAGAGCAACAAATTTGTAAATGAGATAAGCATGTAATGCATAATAATTTATGGCATTCTTGATTATAACAGTGAGGAAAAACTTAAAACACTTTTGGTCTTAGGTACAGGATTCATTAATATTCATAATTTATTGATGGCAGAATACCTGAACTGATAAATATAAATTAGGAACAAACAATAAAATATTTCAATCATCATGATCATATGATTAAATTCTTTCATAAATAAATACAATATTTACATTACAGTTTGTATCAGACCTGGGGTAATGGTAATGCATTGTAATCATTACATTTTTTCAAAGTAATTGGATGTAATGTGTAATGGACTCATCTTTCAATTACAATTGTAATGTTTATGCATTAATTTAAAAAAAATGTCAGTAATGACCATTGCCTTTCAATTACATTTTGGTTTTAAATCTCTCTTCATTATTGAATCTGAAACAAATAAAGGTCACTGAGAGGTTATTTTTTTTTTATTTATAATGTTAAAGTCTTAAAATTAAAATCCTATATCTTACTTTAAAAAAAAAAAAATGTTTATTCAGTGGTGATTGACAGACATACTACATGTAAATAATTGTTTTAATGGAAAACTTCTTGACAAGACAGTTATAAAATCAATTGAAGAAAGCCAGAATTGTTTTGAAAAAAAAAGAAGAAATCATTGGGTTTCAAAGAAGCCACAAAACAAGTGACATTAATACATTTATTTAAAAAAAAAACGGAGGAACTAACATCAGAGACTGAACAAAACTGCAACATTAAAAGTGTTCCGATCCACTTTCTTTGTCAACTGTAGATCATGGTAGATTGGTAAACTACATGGACATGATAAATGAATACAAAATCCAAATACCACTCTGACTTACAGACATGAGGGAAAGCATATCAACCAAGCACAAAGTGTGAAAAGTATAGATATAAATTGTGTGGTCATAAAATTTGTGTTTTTCTCTTATAAAATGTAATGTGTAATGTAATTCATTACTTAAACAAAGTAATTGTAATTTAATTAATTACTTTTCTAAATGAGGGTAATGGTAATTGTAATGGTAAAAATTTCGAAGTAATTGTAATTTAATGCATTACATTTAAAGTAATTGACCCCAGGTCTGGTATGTTTTAGATGCCTTTATGGAATGAACATTCAGATACATAAAAAAGATCTTATTCTTTTGATTTAATTTACATGTAAGCACTTGTTTCAGATGTCATATTATGTGCATAGCTACTATTCATGATCATAGAGCATTCATGAACACATCTTTGGATAGTACAATTACATGCATCATATATAGATCATTATTCGTTTGTCAAGTGGTGATACAAGAGGGAGTGATTCCAACAAGGCACTTTAATGTGTTATGGCTCTTATAGTTATTGTATGTTTGATGCTGTGCTCTAGGGGTACGTGGCCGCTGAACAAACATCTCTGTTCAGTCGACTACTCTGAACTCTTGTCCAAGGAAAAGCATTCTTGAATGAGTGTGGTATGAATTTCCTTATACTTGTGCTCTTGAAGGCCATTTAATTTGAGGTCCAAATACCTATATAAAATACAGTTACTTAGTAATACTTTTCAAAGTCAAAATACTAATATTCTGTGTGAATTATATTATTTGTGAATCTAAATAAATAAATATATATATATAATATATTTACCAATTACCAGTAATTAATTTATTTAAGGAAATAAACCATTTGTAATATAATAAAAAATTAAGATATATTCATAAAATATTAACAATATTTAGATTTTTATTTGAAACTTAGACAAATTAGTGAACTTGCAGTTTGAATCTAATATTTCTTAGTAACACACCCTATATATGAGATTAATCCATGTGCTAAATATTTGGTATACCTGACTCTCGGCTACCCCAAACAAGTTTGCAAGTAAAGAGGTGTTGACACCAAGTCAAATTCTAAGGAGTGTGATCAAGAATTCTTCGAATCTAGTCAGCTTCCTGGATGGCCCTGTTTTTTTTTTTACATTGACCCTTTTCACACTTCTTCTCTGTTGATGTAGAGGTATACATGTATATTCATAGCGGTTGTACTCGCATATGCATGCTGAGGTTTTTCAATGGAGGTGGTTTCTATTTTGGAATCTTGAAATTGTAGCGACTAAATAGGGTAGGGATAGGATTGTTTTCAGTGGGACAGCCATCTACAAAATGTAGGGAACAAACGGAGTGGTATCGTCTAGGGGAAAACTCCTCATCTCGAAAGACCTGCTGAGGCCGCTGCCTTCGTAATTTGAATTT